GCTTCACAGGATAAAAGCAAAGCAATAAAAGCATTAAACAACAAGCAACAAATACAAAGGTAGACAATATGGAAGTACAGCAAGCAGGAGAAAAAAAAATAAAATACAACTCACTGCTATATGCAGTATGTACTTGACACTTGAGTAGTGCAGGGCTAATCCAAGGGCTCTGTCTGAGAATACAGACTGTGTTCAGAACATATAACCTGGTAAGTTTCCTGACGCCTCAAACTTTCATTTTCACCCCACTGGGTTCCTTACATTCAGATTCCATTCAATCTGTCACTTTTCGGCGTCGTCAGTCTTCGATCCTGAAAGATGATTTATCTCAGAAATAAACAATCAAGCAAAGTAGCACCGCTCCTCCTGTGTGGAGGTGTAGCAGTCAGAACATTAAATTGGAAAGATCAAATCTCATTTTATGGCAAATTAATCCATGAAAAAAACAGCAGCTCAATAGAAAAGCGGTCTGATCTCTGCAGGTAAACTCACAGTAACTCTGCTCTGATGAAAGCCAACAGACTAAAACACTCCAACTGACTTTAACTGCTCCGTAATCAATGAACTGATCAATAAAATCTTTTGATGTTTCCACAAAGCACTACGAACTTCAAAGAGCACACAGAATTGGATATTCATCTCTATTTCCTAACAGGTCCTTCAGTATAGTGCATTATACCCACAGAGTCAGATTAACTGCGATGACATTTCCACAAGGACGCTTTATGAATTCATACCTCCAGATTTAACATCCAATTTCTGCTTTTATTCTGTAAAATGGAGTTTTTAAATTATTCTGCTGCGTTAACTGTAATTGCTGTGACATAAGAGGTGGCAAGAAATACAGCAACAAGCCAACGTCAAACCAAGTGGTACACTGTATAAAACATAGATGAATATTTTATTCCAAAGTTCTTAAAGCCTCATTAATTACATACATATTAAAATACATATTAAAGGTTTTAACTATAAAATAATCTCTTTCACTATAATGTGCAGATCTACATAATCCCTCCCTTTTGCTCCACCCACAGCTTTACCCCTCGCTGCAGCTGAGCACACCAGCTCCACAACGACTGCTCAAACACTACAAACCAGCTCTATGCTGCACAATGAAAAACTGTAATTATTGAAGTAATTCAATGTCTGAACCGGAAACCAGTTCTGAAGAAGAGTAGTAAAGAAAGAACTCCCGCAAGGTGGTAGGATCGGTTCATTAGGTTTGTTGCTTATGAAATCCCAGAAGTCATCAGTACGCTGCAGCTTCAAGGCGGAATGCTCATCCATGCAGCTGACTGCTTGTTTCACTCATATACGTCCTCCAGCATTAAAAAAACCCCACCATATAGACATGTTAACAAGGTAAAACAATTGATTTGACCAGAGGGGGTCTTAAAAAAATAGCTGACTAAAGCAACTTCATGCTTCCAATAAAAATCACCTTGGTTATGATACTGTCCTCAATAAACTAAGATTATGCCGATGCTAGTTCAAGACACCGTATCGTAAAGTAATACAATTACAATGTGACTGGGACAAGAGTTTCTAAGGCCAGTGCTAAACAACATATCAGCCAATATACTTTTTTTCTTTACACATTCAAGAACAATAATGAACAACTCTGATGCAGACCCATAAGATTGTTGGTTTGTAAAGACAGAACGGAACATTTTACACAAATCACCACAGCAGTGTTTTTTTGGTGGCTGATTCTAATTGGAAATAAAAATAATTTGACATTTCTGTGTATTGCAATTTCTTGTTATTCCAATCTGCCAACTGGCAGCAGAAAAAAAACATGTGGGTTTAATGGTAGTGAGTAAGTGACAATTTAATATAATCCTGTGTAAGTTCATGACACACAAAAACAGCTACCACTGCTATTAATCATTTATTCTACAATATAATGTCAGTGGTGGGATAAAGTAGTTTTTACAACATAGCACACAGCTCACAGGAAGTACACTGAGTTAGGAGGAGAAAAACAAACACAATACATGCCTTGAAATGAAACAAAAATGGCACAAATGTGACGCTAAACACAGCAGACTGCCTGCTGCTTCACTCCCTTTAACTGGCTATTAGACAGTATTGTTGTTGCCACTCGCTAAAATTCACACAAATGTGAATATCTCCCTTTTGAAAAAAAAACCTTGACAATAAACACCTCAGTGCCCACGCTCATGGCATATTGTAGAGACCACACCCTTGGACATAACCACAGAACATGGAGTGGTGGGACAATGGGTGTTTGCATTCCTTGTTTGGACGGTACAACACCCAGATAACGACAGGCTCTCGACATCTATCTGAAGGGATTACTAAATATGACAACAGACTAGTACAACAGTATGTAAAAGTGGTCTTCAGCAGCTAACAAAAGTGGCAACACATAGCCAGCTCAGTCTGATTACGATTAAACCACATAGAAAATATTAAATAGTGCTTCATGTCAACTTGTGAAATTGAGAAATATTCTGGTCTTGCATCTCTCCAGAACTGTTAACACCCCACAATAGTGTCCACCTAAGAAGTGAATAACACCAATACCAGCACAAGTTAATATCAGCCAAAAGTAACAGCTGTGGCTCAGGTGGTGGAGCAGGTTTTCCACTAATTGCAGGGTTGGCAGTTTGATCCCCAGCCTCTCTTGTCCATGTGCCAAAGTGTCCTTGGGCAAGAAACTGAGCCCCAACTGCTGCTCATGGCAGGCGAGTGCCTTGCATGTGTGTGAGTGTAAGAAACCTTTGGAATACATCATCCAGGCTGATTTCTGGGTCTTATTTTAGGTTTTGCCAAGTAAATGTGTGTCATCTGATGGTGAAACATTCCAAATGACCAGAGGTACTGTATGCATACCACATTCAGTAACTACTGAGACACAGTATGTGGCTCTGGACCATAGAACAGAGAAGATGGCCATCAAAGCTGAGTGCACCACATAGCCAGGTTTAACAGAAATATTCAAGTTCAGTCGGAACTTAGCTGTTTAATAATGCCATCATCATTCTAGTTTGTGTCCCAGTAATCCCTGAGTAGATCTACAAGTCGCTGCTTACCTGCCATGTCGGTGGCGAAGGGTCGGTCCGGTCTCCAGCCGGTGTACCAACCCACAACTTTGCCCCCAGACACCAGGGGGCGCTCATATGCTCTGCCACCCACAAATCCCACAGGCCAAACAGACACTCCACGAGTGCTACGCATCTGCAAAGAGACAGAAAGAAATATGATCAGCTATGACATGCTGTTCATAACTGTATTTAGTGAGTGTATCCAAATACAATAAGCTTGACCGTCTGACAGTTATTTAAAAACAGCAGGAAGCTGATTTGCTCTCTGGGGCAGTTCAAAGTATATCTGCTGCAGCAATAAAAGCTGTGATGTCATAGAAAACAACACTTTATGCAAACCCACATTCAGTTTTCTTGCTAATCACAATACAAGGTCTGCAAAAGCAAACCAGACATGATGTCTGAGCCTGTGGGTGACATCCACCCTGAGGGGACGTCAGAGGCCCCAGAACGTCAGAGAGCAGGCCAGTGGCGTGACTCTGAAATGAATTACTTGTGTGTCAGTTTGCATGAGTGATTAGACATCTTTAATTTCATCTGAAATGCTGGTGAGAGCAGCAAGCAGAGAATCTGTGGCTAACTGAATATAAGACTAAATGAAACTGTGCAGCGCAGAGCTGCCTTCCATTTTCACAGTGAATGAATTTGCACACAGCCGGAAGCAGTGCGACAAGAAATGAGACGGAGAGAGAGCGCGAGATAAAAGAGTGGCCATGTGGAGGGGGGGGTGGACTGTGTGAGGACGGCTGAGTTCTTGTGCAGAAGTATGAGACATCTGTATCTTGTCTTTGTGTGTGGATGCATATGTGTGTGTGTGTGTGTGTGTGTGTGTGTGCGTGTGATTGTGTTTTCCAGGCCTGGCCACCCTGAAGCCCGCTCATTCAGACAGTGCTCCTCATCGCTCACCCAAACAGCCTCCAGCCAGTCGCTCGTGACAAAGCAACAGAACAAAGCCAAATCAGTAAGCAGCACTGCATTACTTCACTCAGACATCATAGAGAGTTCTAGCTTTTAAAGCCACGGGAAACCAAGTCATATATAGCACAATATATAGAGAAGATTTACAGCTCTTTGCAAATTTCCAAACAGCAGGAGGAGACTTGACGGTGTGCAAAGAACAACAGAGTGCATGATATGGAAAATAAAAATACCCAAATAGGTTTGTCTCGTCTAGTAGGTATTTCCCTGGAGAATAATGTAGAAGAAATGCATCGTGTATGCCTTGTTTTTCCTTTTTGATAAATGTACGCGTAGGCCAAAGACAGCCCAGTGAGTGGTGTGTTTGTCCAATCAGCAGTGAGAAAGGTAATGCTGATGTATTAGTGATGGTGGGAACTGTCAATCTGCCATTGACAGCCTAATTAATTGATGTCTGCCTCCAGCAAAATACATACTGAGTCTTGCCAAAGCTCAATAGCAGCAAAGTAAGCAAAACTGTAGACCGAGCTACGAGGCAAGCAAAAGGAAAACACCGATGAATTTAACATGTAGCAAAGTGCAAGTCACTTCTGATCACACTGTATTCATGTTTTTGACATAATATGAGGAGCTGGGAATGAATGTACTCAACCTATTGATTAAAAATTTTAAAGAGATAAAACAAGCATTTTAGCAGATTTCACAGAATGCATTGTTTGAGAGAAAACACAGGATAGAATCTTCATGTGTGTGTTTTCAGTACATATGCGTATGAGTCCAAAAACAGATCATTTTAATTACACTTAAACAGATCTGTGAGCTGAAACAACTTGCTGCCTGCACAGTCTGATAAATTAACAGAGGAACAAATTACAGCTTTTTGTTGTTGTTGTTTTTGTATTTTTTTTTTTAACTTAACCTGAAGTGTTGAGACAGTGTTTCTATGAAAATTTTAAACTGGAACAACATGCAAATTTTTTTTACAGTGTACTAGCAAACAGTATGTAACTAGCAGAATGACAAAGAACTACTTAAGTCACAGATTGTCACAACTAAACAAAAATCAGCATCAAATCCAGAACACTGGAGACATTAGGAGACATGAATAAGACGTTGATGTGAGATTTGATTTCCCTCTCATTATCCATCCACCCATCCATTTTCTATACACATCTTAATCCTCATTAGGGTCGCGGGAGGGCTGGAGTCTATCCCAGCCGACTTAGGGCGAAGGCAGGGGACACCCTGGACAGGTCGCCAGTCTATCACAGGGCCCCTCTCATTATTTGAAGTGTATCTGATGATAAATGTCCATGACCCAACACTGAAGGTCCTGTTAGAAATATTTAAGGTTAAAGTATAAAAATTGTATTGCAATATTTGCCACTGAAACAAGATCTTACAATAAATGTTTTTTTTGTCCTATAGTTCATAAATACACCTTCTGAAACCATGAAACCTCACTAATTAATACATCAAGTGTGAACTGTAAAAACTAGAGTTTGCAGTGTTGCTGTTCATCGTTATCGATGAACAACAGTTTGTCTGTCCATCCAGGACTTTTGCGCAGTACCTCAGCTCCCTCGGTTACATCTTTCCCAGAAGTCAGTGTAAAAATACATCACTTGATGTGCACCACGTAGCGATTCGACCAGGCGGTATAAAAGCTTTCAGGGCTGAAAATAGGCAGAATCTCTGTTGTGTTACCGCAGAGGAGCAGAGATAAAGAACAGGAAATTGACATTTATTTATATAAAGCTGTCAGACATGATAACTGTAACTTATTCATCTTCCGATAAATAACATGATGTGCTGTGGTTTTATCTTTAGATTCAACAGAATGAAAGGAAGTGGATAAATTGAACATTTAGTTAGTGTCTGACCTCACTTCTATCTCAAGAGCAAAGCATTTTCTTCCATACGTTTGTTTTTTTTCCCTTTTATTCCTCTTCTTCTTTCCATCTCGCGCACCTCTCTCCTGCTTGGACCCTTGAGCAACACCAACAGCTTTGAAGCCCCTTCCTCATTATTACCGCGGCCCCTTGAGTTTGTCCGTGTGACGCTAAAACCCTTCCCCCTTGTTCCTCTCTGGCTGCTAGCTGCCTTTCTCTCCCAGGTCATTTTTCAAAGACTCCCTCCTTTGTGAAAACACAGATAAAAAGAAGAGGAGGGGAAGTGGTAGACGGAGAGACTGACTCGGTGTGTTGGTCGTTCCCAGATCATTCGTGGAGTATGATCGTTATTTTGGCTTAGCGGTTAAGTCCTAGTTTGACTGCTAATGATTCACTGGTTAGAATTCTGCGCCTCAAGGCTCAGTTCAGTTTGACACATTATTAGAGAGCATTAGAATACAGTCCATGCGTATGCAAACATATTCACAATCTGTGGCTGCTTTTACAGGGAACCCAGTTTTTTTCTAACCCAAATGCTTTGAAGACCAGCATTTGATTTTGCCTTTGAAATACACAATTTTTCTGCTTAGCCCTCGTTCAGAAACCAGATTTTCACTACAAAATGATGAGAGCACATCTCATTAATTGCATGACAACACCAGTATTATCTGTACTTTCTGTCTTTAACTTTTTTTAGTGTCCACAGGGCACAGTCAAATTCAAACATTTTCAAGTCCTTTTATTGGCCTTACAAGCATCTCGCAGTTTTCAGAAGTTCCATCAAACTGCAGTGAATAAAACGTACGATTGCTTGTTTGTGTCTTATAGA